TTATAGGCTGAGCCACCGAACCCGGTATATATTTAATATATTTTAATTCTTCATTCTTTTCTCTCTCTGCTCTTGTATATAAGGTATATTGATGAGAATTACCTTTTCAATTAGTTCATAGGTTGCAAAATATTTAGATGGGCTGATAAGGGAATTGCAGGAGGAATGGACATCATCCAGAAATCCTGGATGGGAGTGGATATTTGTGGTTTTTTTTTTGTTTTGTTTTGTTTTTGAGTCAGAGCCTCACTCTGTCGCCCAGGCTGGAGGGCAGTGGCACGTTCCTGGCCACCGCAGCCTCGACCTGCTGGGCCCAGGAGATCCTTTCACCTCAGCCTTCCAAGGAGCTGGAACTACAGGCATGCACCATCACATCCAGCTAATTTTTTGATTTATTGTAGAGATGAGGTCTCGCCAAGCTGCCCAGGCTAGTCTCAAACCTGTGGGCTCAGGCAGTCCTCTCACCTTGGCCTCCCAAAGTGCTGGGATTACAGGCTTGAGCCACCACGCCCGGCCTGGATGTGATAATGAACAAGACTTTGAGTTGTCTCCCTTTGGAAAGAGTGAATACACTTTTGACTGGAAGAAGGATGGATGCATTATACTAGGTAGGCTAGATAGGCTGTTGTTGCTGTTTTTGAAGATTAAATTCTAGAATAAGGACATACATGAATGTTGGACACCTAAAACAGTGGACTGTGGGGACATTTGTCATTTTGTTGACTCTATTTTGGGAATTCCTTTGTGGATGTTATTTGTGACACGGTGTCTAGACAAGCCACAGAGAGAGAACGTTCTTTTTTTTTTTTTTTTGAGTTGGAGTCTCATTCTGTCGCCCAGACTGGAGTGCAGTGGCCACTCCCGGCCACCGCAGCCTCGACCTGCTGGGCTCCAGCGATCCTTCCGCCTCAGCCTTCCGAGTAGCCGGAATTACAGGCATATGCTTCCACGCCCGGCTGATATTTTGATTTATTGTAGAGATGAGGTCTCGCTGCCCAGGCAGGTCTCGATCCCGCGGGCTCAGGCAATCCACTCACCTCAGCCTCCCAAAGGCGAGGGATTACAGGCTGAGCCACTGAGCCCGGCTGTTCTTTTTTTTTTAAGTTGGAGTCTCACTCTGTCGCCTAGGCTGGAGTGCAGGGTCACACTCACAGCCACCGCAGCCTCGACCTGCTGGGCTCAGGCAATCCTTCCGCTTTAGCCTTCCAAGTACCTGGAATGACAGGTGTGTGCCACCACTCCCGGTTTATTTTTTTGATTTATTGTAGAGACGAAGTCTCACCAAGTTGCCCAGGTTGGTCTTGAACCCGTGGGCTCAGGCAATCCCCTCACCTTGGTCTCCCAAAGTACTGGGATTACAGGCTTGAGCCACCATGCCTGACCCGAGAGAAGGTTCTTCTTCTCTCTAGCTCTAGCTATCTTGGTGTGAGGAGGTATCCCAAGCTCAGCTAGTCCGATGGTTCAGGTGGCCTACCTGGTTTCCTTTCTCCACTCCAACATGGCAGCCCTGAGTGGTTTCCCAGGGCTCGTTGGCTGATGCCTGATGCAGTGTGAGTTGAGAGCACTTCTGGAGACCCAGGGCAAAAATGTCTTCCTTCCTTGGCCACTCCGGCCTCAGCTCACGTCCAGGGTTAGGTCCTGCTTCCAGCTGAGTGAGACTCTAAGGAAGGAGTCCCCTTTCCTTGTCGTCGCCTCCCCAGACAGAAGGGGAGCACTGAGAGGGCCTGCGGGTAGGGGCTTTCAACTTCCCCACTTTCTGCTTTCACAGATATTATCAGGGCCTGAAACTGAACCCCTGTGGGGACACAGAATTGCATTCAACTACAGCTTTGGGTCCCACAGACCTAGGTTCGTATTCCATCCTAGATTGTGTATCAATTCTCCAGTCTCTATATAATGACAACAAATTCAGGTGAAAGACAAAAAGCTGACTGGGCACAGTGGCTCAGCCTGTAATCCCAGCACTTTGGGAGGCCGAAGCGAGAGAATTGCCTGAGCCCAGGGGTTCAAGACCAGCCTGGGCAACTTGGTGAGACCTCGTCTCTACAATAAATTACAAAAACTAGCCAGGTATGTCTGTGGTTCCAGCTATTTGGAAGGTTGAGGCGGAAGGATCACCTGAGCCTGGCAGATCGAGGCTGCGGTGGCCATAAGCGTGTCCCTGCACTCCAGTCTGAGCGACGGGTGAAACTCTGACTCAAAAAAAGAAAGACAAAAAACTCGGTGGGAATGTAAAATGGTGTAGATACTATGGAATACAATATGGCAGTTTCTCAAACAATATAACATAACCATGGGATCCAGCAATTCCACCTGTGGGTATGTACCCAACAGAACTGAAAGCAGTTTTTTTTTTTCCTTTTTCTTCAGAGTCTTACTCTGTCACCCTGGCTGGAGTGCAGTAGCATGCTCACAGCCACCACAGGCTCAACCCGTTGGGCTCAGACAATCCTTCCTCCTCAGCCTTCCAAGTAGCTGGAACAACAGGCACACGCCACCACACCTGGCTCTTTTTTTTTTTTGAGTTGGAGTCTCACTCTGTCACCCAGGCTGGAGTGCAGTGCAGTGGCTGCTCTTGGCCACTGCAGCCTCGACCTGCTGGGCTCCGGCAATCCTTCCGCCTTAGTCTTCCAAGTTGCTGGAACTACAGGCCGGCGCTACCACACCCGGCTAATTTTTGATTTATTGTAGAGATAAGGTTTTGTCAAATTGCCCAGGCAGGTCTCGAACCCACAGGCTCAGGCAATCCACTCACCTCAGCCTCCCAAAGTGCTGGGATTATAGGCTGAGCCACCGAGCACGACCCCTAATTCTTTTTTAATTTATTGTAGAGATGAGGTCTTGCCAAATTGCCCAGGCTGGTCTCAAACCCGTGGGTTTAGGCAATCCTCTCTCGTCTTGGTCTCCCAAAGTGCTGGGATTATAAGCGTGAACCACCACGTCTGGCCTATTTTTTTTTGGTAGAGTTGAGGTCTCACTATGTTGTCCAGGCTGGTCTCAAACTCCTGGGCTCAAGCAGTGCTCCCACCTTGGCTTCCCAAAGTGCTGGGATTACAGGCATGAGCCATCATGCCTGGCCTGGAAACTTTTTTTTTTTTTTGAGTTGGAGTCTCACTCTGTCGCCCAGACTGGAGTGCAGTGGCCGCTCCCGGCCACCGCAGCCTCGACCTGCTGGGCTTCGGTGATCCTTCCGCCTCAGCCTTCCGAGTAGCTGGAACTACAGGCACACGCTACCACGCCCAGCTAATTTTTGATTTTATTGTAGAGATAAGGTCTCACTAAGTTGCCCAGGCGGGTCTCGAACCCACAGGCTCAGGCAATCCACTCACGAAACTTTTTTTATTTTTGTTTTTATTTTTATTTTTTGAGTCGGAGTCTCACTCTGTCGCCCAGGCTGGAGTGCAGTGGCATGCTCATGGCCACCCAAGCATTGACTTGCTGGGTTCTGGCGATTCTTCCACCTCAGCCTTCTAAGTAGCCTGGACTACAGGTGCGTGCTACCACGTCTGGCTCATATTTGATTTATTGTAAAGGCAAGTTCTTGCCAAGTTGTCCGGGCTAGTCTCGAACCCTCAGACTCAGGCAGTCCACTCACCTCGGCCTCTCAAAGTGCTGGGACGACAGACTGAGCCACCGAGCTTGGCCTGGTTCCATTTTTTAATACCCCTCATGTGAGAATTATGTTGTCCCTGATTTTCTCAACAACCCTGAAAAGTAGATATCATTGCCTCCATTTTAGACACGGGGAAACAGTCTCACACAGGTTAAGCTACACTCAGAGGGCCATGCTCTTGCCGTGGGGTGCCTCAGTGCTTTTGCTTGTACATGAGCATATACCCGTTAGGTCAGAGCTGGCTCCAAATCACCTCTGCCCACTTTTACACCACCCTCCCTCCTGCCCCCAGGCATTCCTGATCCCACTGTTTTCTTCACAGCATTTACCACTGCTGGAAATCAGCTCTTTAATATTTAATATCACAAATTCAATATCCTTCTCCCCACTACAATATAAGCTCCAAGAGAGTAGGGATCGTATCTGCCACTGCCAAGGTCAAGTGCACCGTGGATCCTCAATAAACAGTTGCAGGTGGGATCAGTCCATGGGCTAGCACGGTGGGACCCTCCCAGCCCTGGGCCGAGCATCCCACCCACGTGCTTCCTTGGTGCTCTGAAGCTGGAGAAGCCATTGGTCCCCATGCACATGTCCTTGTGATTGTTCTTTTACTCTTGGGTCTTCCCGCCAGATCCCAGCTGCCCGGACAGGGGGTGAGCCCAGGGTAGGCCCAGCGCCTAGCCTATCGGTGTGCTTGTCTCTGCCATATACGCTTGAACCAAAGTCAGAATATCCACACTAGACCCTTGGCTTTTTCCTGCTTCATTCTCACTGCAGGCTCAGAGCCAGGTAGGACCTTCTGGAGGGTCGGGGTCTGCCTTCCCCAAAGCCCTCTGGGCCTGGGGTCTCCCAGAGGTGGGTCCACAGCCCTCGGGGCCTGGCCTGCCTCTGGGAGGAAACCTGGGACGGGAGGACTGGCAGCCTGGATTCCCCGCTCACATCGGGAAGGGGCGGGGGAGGGGACGAGGCAGGATGCATCCAGTTGCTGACACCACACTCTCAGTCCAGGACGCAGCGCCAAAGTCCAGAATGACCGGACCTCTGGTTGGCTGTACCCTGCAGAAGGAAGGTGAAGGGGGTGTCCATTTCAGCAGGGCCTTCATCTGAGGGACCTGAGGGGAAAAGGAGCTGATGGTGGAGGGCCCAGGTCTCCGAGATGCTAGGACACCCAGGGATGACTTCTGCACATGTCTGTGGTGGTCGTTAGGGGAAAGCAGTGAGGCCGCCTCTGTCCATGGTGGGGGAAAGGAGGGCGGAATCACAGGCTCAAAATGAGAATCACTGGCTGGTGGCCACCCAGGGGGACCCTTGGGATCCAGTATCCCGGGCCGGGGCCGTGTCCACACCCCGCCCCCCACCCCGCGTCCATCCAGCCTGGGCACCCGGCCTGGTCGGCTGCGGGTCCTGTGTGGGGGACCCGCATGATTAGTCGAGGTCTTGATCCATGATCTGGAGGACGTCGTCCAGGATGGAAGGCCCCAGGTCCACATGCAGGGACAGCAGGGAGCTGGCGTGGGACAGGAAGGACTCCTCGGACCCTGACTCCGGCGTCAGCCCATGGTGGGGTGAGCCGGCTTCCGGAATCCTCCAAATGTCCACACTCCCTGCCTCCTGCGGGGTAGGCTGAGGGGTCTCCAGGTGCAGGCGAGGGGGCTTGGGCGGGGCCTGGGCTGTGGGCAGCGTGAGGGCTTGGGGCCCGCCGATGACTGGGAGCGAGATGGCATTCTTGAGCAGAGGGGACAAGCCGTCGGGGAGCTCCCGCCCACACACCGTAGCGGTGCGGGCGAACTGGAAGGGAAGGTCAAAGGTGCCGTCTTCCTCGGGCCCCTCGACCGCTGTCCCCGGCAGGAGGTGGAACTTGCCCTGCAGGAAGGAGATGTCCCCGAACATGTCGCCGCCACCGCTGCCAATATGAATGGTGTGGCGGAAGTCCCCCAGCGGCGGGCTGATCATGTCAGAGGACAGCAGGTCACGAAGCTTCTCCTTCTTACCTTTCCGGCTGCCCCGTTTCAGATAGATGGGCACCTTGGTGGACATGGTGACCTCACCACCACTCAGGCCTGACTGTGAGGCTGGGGACAGGCCACCTGTCGAGATCACAGTCTCCCCTCAAAACCCCTCAGCCAGAAACACTCGTTCCGGAGGGGGTTTCAGACACCCAACTTTGCCAAAGAGTCCAAAGCCGCTCCAGGAATCAGCAAAAGGAAGATGAAAAAAATCGATGAAGTCAGAGGGTTGAGATGGCAAAAATCACTTTCTCGTCAAAGGATCACACAGTCTTCTGAAAACTAGAACAGAAAGGCGGGGCTTGTGTAGGCTGCAATGCGCTTTGGTCTTGTCTCTGAGAGATCCTCCTGGGTCCCGAGCTGAGAGCTGAAACAGAAAGGGTACACACAAGTCAGAGCATCAAAATCAGAAGCATCAGCCCCGGGAGCCCAAGGAGGTCACTCCCTTTAGGGGCATCCCTGCTGGAAGAAGCGTGGCTTCACTCATAGACTCACTGCATCTTAGAGGCTGGACCAGTGTCGTCAAACCCCTCTTGTTACATGTGGGGACACTGAGGCCAGGGAGCCAGAGCATGAGGCCCAAAGTTGCATATAAAGTCTTGCTCTGGGCCAAGAGTGGTGGCTCATGCCTGTAATCCTAGCACTTTGGGAGCTTGAGGCAAGAGGATTGCTTCAGTCCAGGACTTTGAGACCAGCCTGGGCAACATAGTGAGAGATCTTGTCTCTGAAAAAAAAAAAAAAATCTCACGGGCTTGGTGGCTCAGCCTGTAATCCCGCGTTTTGGGAGGCTGAGGTGAGTGGATTGCCTGAGCCCGCGGGTTCGAGACCTGCCTGGGCAACTTGGCGAGACCTCATCTCTACAATAAATAAAAAAAAAAATAGCCGGGCGTGGTAGTGCGCGCCTGTAGTTCCAGCTCCTTGGAAGGCTGAGGCGGAAGGATCGCAGGAGCCCAGCAGGTCGAGGCTGTGGTGGCCGGGAGGCCACTGCACTCCAGTCTGGGTGACAGTGAGACTCCAACTAAAAAAAAAAAAAAAATCTCAAAAATTAGCACTGTGTGGTGACACATGCCTGTAGTCCCAGCTACTTGGGAGGCTGAGGCGGAAGGATCCCTGAGCCCAGTGGGTCGAGGCTATGGTGAGCCGTGATCATGCATTCCAGCCTGGGTGACGGAGTGAGACTCTGACTCAGAACAAACAAAAAAGGGCCAGGCGCAGTGGCTCACCCCTGTAATCCCAGCACTTTGGGAGACAGAGGGGAGGGGATTGTCTGAGCTCAGGGAATCGAGACTAGCCTGGGCAATTGGTGAGACCTCGTCTCTACAATAAATCAAAAAATTAGCCGGGTGTGGAGGCACACACCTATAGTTCCAGCTACTTGGAAGGCTGAGGTGGAAGGATCACCTGAGCCCAGCAGGTCGAGGCCGCAGTGGCGGTGACAGTGCCTCTATACTCCTGGGTGACAGAGTGAGACTCCGATTCAAAAAAAAAAAAAAAAAAATTTAGAGGCATCAAGGCTAGGAGTGATGTCTCATGCCTGAAATCCCAGCACTTTGGGAGTCCGAGGTGGGAGAATTGCTTGAGTCAGGAGTTCAAGATCAGTCTGAGCAACATAGCAGGACCTCACCTCTACACGAAAATAAGAAACCTAATCAGACATGGTTGGTGGCGTGTGCCTGTGGTCCCACATACTTGGGAGGCTGAGGTGAGCCGTGATCACGCCAGTGCACTCCAGCCTGGGTAACAGAGTAAGACATGGACTCAAAAAATAAATAAATAAGAATTAGAGACAGCAGACATTTTGAAGTAATTCATGTAAAGCATTGCAGAGAGACAGAAGCAAACAGAATGCAAAAACATAGCACAGACGATACCATTTATTGAAAATGCTGCTGGGTTTGTGGCTCATGCCTGTAATTACCCTTTGGGAGGTGAAGGCGGGAGATGGGGAATTGTTTGAGGCGAAGACTTCGAGACCAGCCTAGGCAACATAGCGTGACCTTGCCTCTACAGAAATTCAAACAAAACTAGCCAGGTAAGGTGGCACACGCCTGTAGTCCCAGCTATTCAGAAAGCTGAGGTGGAATCCCAGGAGGTCGAGGCTGCAATGAGCTGTGATTGTGCCACTACACTCCAGCCTGGGCAACAGAGTGAGACTCTGACTCAAAAAAAAAAAAAAAAAAAGAAAAGAAACATGAAAAAAAGCCTGGTTACCTCCCCTCCTCCCTGATGTGTGTATATGTGTCCCTATTCATGTACTTAAGTATATTAGCCTGTGTAGAATTCTATTCTCTATAGGAACAGAGAAGGGCCAGGCACGGTGGCTCACGCCTGTAAATCCCAGCATTTTGGAAGGCTGAGGCGAGACGATTGCCTAAGCTCAGGGGTTCAAGACCAGCCTGGGCAACTTGGCGAGACCCCGTTTCTACAATAAATAACAAAATTAGCCGCATGCCTGTAGTTCCTGCTACTTGGAAGGCTGAGGCGAAAAGATCGCCTGAGTCCAGCAGGTCGAGGCTGTGGTGGCCATGAGCGTGCCACTGTACTCCAGCCCGGGTGATAGACTGAGACTCCGACTCCAAAATAAAATAAAATAAAACGGGCTCGGTGCCTCAGCCTGTAATCCCGCGCCTTTGGGAGGCTGAGGTGAGTGGATTGCCTGAGTCCGCGGGTTCGAGACCCGCCTGGGTAGGCGAGACCTCATCTCTACAATAAATCAAAAAATTAGCCGGGTGTGGTAGCGCACGCCTATAATTCCGGCTACTCGGAAGGCTGAGGCGGAAGGATCGTCGGAGACCAGCAGGTCAAGGCTGCGGTGTCCGGGAGCGGCCACTGCACTCCAGTCTGGGCAACAGAGTGAGACTCCAACTCTAAAAAAATAAATAAATAAAATAAAATAAAATAAAATTTAAAAAGATGAAAGGCAAGTCACCCAAATGTTGCCGGTGGTTAACTCAAAGCAGCAGAATTTCAGGTTGACTTTTTCTTTTTCGTTCAGACTTTTAAAAATTCAAATTCTTCATAATAAGCATGTATTATTTATATGGAAATATTATTTATGAAGCCAGGAAGAAATAAAGCTATTTTAAATGTGGAAACAGAAATATGCTAGGAAAGGGTGTCACACTGATTTGACAGAAAAAGGAAATAGATCCAGCCCTCCCACTGCTTGGGGGGGGTGGGGGACGCAGGGAGGGCCTGATTGGCCCAATACACACGAGCCCAGATGTAAATCAGCATAAAAGGCAAAGAAAGAAGCTTGTCCAAGGTTACTCGGTGAGAAGGCAGGGAGGGCCGGAATTCAAGCCAGATGAGTCCAGCCCCCCCCCATGGTCCCACCCCAGGCCCGCCAGGGGCCGAGCAAAGGCTTCTACCAGCTTTTCTACCCTGGTCCTCATCCTGGGCAGGGTGAGGGTGTCGGTGAGGGGGCTGGAGGCAGGGAGCAGGAAGGCGGATTCAGGAGAAGCAGGGGCCCAACCCCCACCCCCACCCATTCCAGGCCAGGTCCTTGCTCAGGAAACCCCACCCCCGGACCGGACACCCCGGGTCAGTCGCGCTGAGCCACGGAGGCCGGACATCTCGCTCCTCCCAGGGCACCTGCAGCTTTCACAGGAAACAAAGGAATGAGTCTCCGGTGGTGGAATTCCAGCTAAGCCTGGAAGGAGCTGGAAGGCGTGGGGAGGCCTGGGTGCCTTGAAGTCTTGGGATCCCAGCACTCATTCGCTCATGCCGTGTCCACCCTGCCAGGCCTGGGGGACATGCCGGCCAACTTGCTATCTGTCCCTTGTCAGGCGAGAAGACCTGGGCGGGGTTTCTTCCTTTTCGCTCACGGAGGTGGGGGAGGTGGGGGTGCTGACCGGTAGGATTTGTCCTTCCCTGCCCCCACCCCATCACACGGAGCGCCGAGCCAGCCTCAGCGTTTCCACAACAGATGGGGCGTCCCTGACAGCTGTCTCACTCAGAGCCAAATGCACCCGCCCAATTCCAGATGTGGGGAGAACGAGGGAGGGGCCGGCATCGACAGCCCAGGGGAGAGCTGGGAATTACAACCATCAAGTCCTAAGTATTCAGATTTGGCAACTACAAGACCCTAGAATCCGGCCGGCCGTGCGGTTTCCAATTTTAATGCTCCCCGCCACAGCATGGTGGGGTCATTACCGTCCTTTACGGGGGCCAAAGTTAAGCCTCAGAGATGTCAAGTAACTTTGCCCAAGTCGTGCGGCTGGGATATAAGTGGAAGGGTGAGCACTGCACCCAGCCTGGTCCACATGGCTCCAATGCAGTGGGCTACTACGGGGGACGGGAGAGAAACAGGCCGGAAACACGTGGTCCCCGTACCTCCTTCATCTACGACCTACCCTTAGGCTGCCCCCTGATCCAACTTGCATGTGTTATGAGAATGAGCTCTTGGTTGGACATGGTGGCTCACGCCTGTCATCCCAGCACTTTGGGAGGTGGAGGTGACAGGACTGCCTTGAGTCCAGGGGTTCGAGACCAGCCTGGGCAACTTGACGACATCTCGTCTCTACAATAAATCAAAAAATTAGCCGGGCATGGTGGCGCGTGCCTGTAGTTCCAGTTACTTGGAAGGCTGAGGCGGAAGGATCGCCTGAGCCCAGCAGGTGGAGGTTGTGGTGGCCGGGAGCGTGCCACTGCACTCCAGCCTGGGCGACAAAGTGAGACTCCGCCTCAAAAAAATAAAGAGAGAGAGAGAGAGAGAGAGAGAGAGAGAGAATGAGCCTTCTATCAGGACAAGGCTGTGGGTGGCTGAGCTGAGAGGGTGACTCTCTGGGTTTGTCCTGCACAGGAGCTCTAGGCCTTCCTCAGAGAAAACAATTTCCTGGAGGCAGAGTCCCTCCTATTATGAGGACTATTAAGCCACCCTCCACTAGGGATGTTCAAGGAGCAGCCCTTGACCTTGAGATTCCGGAGACCGACCTTACATTCAGCTCCTCCTGGGACTCATGATGGTGGGCAAGACACATCTCTCTGGGTCTCACTTTCCGCATTTTAAAAATTGGGTCGACAATAAAGCCACCACGCTAGGGCTAAGGAGACCCCATGATTTATTGCGAGTGAGCGCGACAGGGTCTGCGGGTCACCCCATCATTCCTTTGCAAATACTGTATCTGCAAGGTCATCCTC